TAGTTTGATTTACGTCATGGCTTTCTGCCCATGAGATACTTAAGTAATTAGGAGAAGGAATGCAAAGCAGGTACTTTCTATGGAGTAGGTACACTGGAAGAGTAAGCCCAGAAAGAGAGCTGGAATTTGGCAGAGGAATTCAAGGGGGAGCACCTAACAAATTGCCTGCTTTAAATAGCTTATGCAAGGGACAGAAATGGGTGGCAATTACTGCTGTTGTGATGTGCAAAGCTTGTGACAGGTTTCTGTGCCAGCCGGAAAACTCTCTGGCGTATATTTGCAGGCAATGCAAGCCTGTAGCATCCTTGCAGAGAGAAAGAGGAGCGGAGCAGAGAATGGCTGCACTTCAGACTCTGCAGGAAGAGCAGAGAGTGGAGGTGGATCAGACAAGCACCCAGGAAGGGTGAAAGATCTCTGCCCTCCGTCTTCCCCACGGCAAGTTCAGGAACGGCTTCCAGCCCTGGCTCTGCATCAGTGGTGGGATTCAAGTATTTTTAACACCGGTTCAGTGGGCGTGGTTCGGTGGATGCACTTTGCGCGCGTGCACACCCTTTGCATGTGCACATGCACCAAATGCACACTTTGCGCAGGCTCAGAGGCATTCCAACTCGCCTCCTGCAAGCCTGCACTCTCCCGGTTGCTTCAGCAGCTGCCTCCCAACACTCTTCTGTGCCGCGCAAAGCAGCTGCACTTCAAAAGTGAGTATGGGAGCCCAGGTGGGTGGGTGGGCCCAAGAGCAGAGCCATGGAAAGAACCGGTTCAGTCTCCGCTGCTCATCGTTGCTACTGGCTTGGCAGAACCGGGGCTAACTGGTAGAACAGCACCACTGCTCTGCATCGCCCTGGCAGGGAGAGGAGGCCAGGCCAGATGGGAGATGAGCCACAACCGCCATCTACAAAAGGGCAAAGGGGAGGGATTTGTAAGAGCTGTTTCTCCTTTGTAATATGACCCAAACTGACGTGTCCAGGCGTCTCTGCTGGCTTCTGAAGGGCCTTGTGGGAGTCAATGGGAGAGTAGCCATCCTCAGACCCAGTAAACCATTACAGCACATGAAAAATCAGGAACCACATGAACTTATAAAGTCACTGGTCCTGCTGGTCTACAAAATCATGCTATGAGTGTAAGAGACAAACATGTTAAATCCTTATTGTAGGAAGGCAATTTATATTTAGGGAAGGCAAATTTGGTGTAGTGGTTAAAGGTGCTGATCTACCGTGTTTCTCCAACAATACGGCCTCCACTAATAGGAAGCCCCACCATGTTTTATTGGCATAAAATCAAATTAAGCCCCTCCCCCCAAATTAAGCCCCATATTAAACATGCGAAATGGGGGGGGAGCGCGGGGGGGGGGGGGGGGGGGGG